CCCCGCTCTCTGTTTTTCCCCTCCTATTTCCTTGAAGATCCCGATCGGCTGCTTTGCTCACTTTTGCGCCACAAGGAAAAGCTTAAAAGACCTGCCTCTGCCCTTCAGCCGGCAGTGCGCTTCTTCCGGCTGCTGAGACAGGGAACAACTTCAAAAGGGATGCGTCTCTCAGTATTGCTCTTACTCGTCCCCACATCTTCCCCGTTATTCAGAATCAAAATATGTATGAATGTTCCTTTTTTTTTCCAGTTCCAGGCCTCTGTCTGATACATATTTTGCCCTTTAGCCGACCTGCCTCTGCCCTTCAGCCGGCAGTGCGCTTCTTCCGGCTGCTGAGACAGGGAACAACTTCAAAAGGGATGCGTCTCTCAGTATTGCTCTTACTCGTCCCCACATCTTCCCCGTTATTCAGAATCAAAATATGTATGAATGTTCCTTTTTTTTTCCAGTTCCAGGCCTCTGTCTGATACATATTTTGCCCTTTAGCCCTTTTTCCCCATATCTCTTCCTCTTAAAGTACACTTCTTTCTCCTCTTACCCGAGAGCCTTGCTCTGTATTGACTACTTTTCACCATTTTGTCTAGCCCTTTAGAAACTCATTCTGCGCTTACTTCAGAGTATTACTGCTAAAGCTATGCTTTCTTGATTCTTACTTGTTTTACAGGGGTGTACACTGTTGACATTTCTGTGATTACATTGAAAACGCCCCATGGCTGTTACAGAAGCAATATCTGAACATTTCATACTAAAGAACATAGGCTTGCTGCCATATTGGTCCTGGGAGTTAGAGTGAGTTATCTCCGTTTGTTGAAGTGCAGCAACTAACTGACATAAGACGGAGCTAAAATCTGTACATGAGTGCCTTCACCATAATATTTCCCCTTTCTCGGTGTTTTCTCACAAATCTTCCATTGTGTACAGAAGTTCCTTCAGCTTTCCTTCCCAAGACTCACATTTCAGGAAACATTTGAAACAATCTAGCACTACACTGTGCTTTAAAAGCACAGGCCAACACTACCCATGCGCTGGCTGTCTCTTCTGACCCAAAGTGGGTTAATTCAGCGTGCTAACTAGCAGGAAGCGACTCTTACTCTGCTGGGATAGTTTTGTGAAGGCTGAGCAAGCTGAGCCAGATCACCAAGGAATCATTCTGCTGCCAGAGCCTGTGCAGAACCAGCACGCAGCCAGGAATGAGAGGGCGGTGGGATCGTGGCTTTGGTGGGCTGCAGTTGGATGTCGTCTTATCTCCTGTCACTATGCCATTCACCTTTTCAGTAGTTCATTTGCCAGAGAATATCGTAACCTGAATAACATATCGTAAACATGACAGTTGGAGCCCAGATGCAGCACGCTGCTGCAAAGTGGCCCTTTTAGGGCCTTTGGTGCCTGCCAAACTTGAAGGGTCAGCTGTTAGAAAAATACATCTTAAAAATTTTTACACGTGTATGCCTGTAACATGCATAGTCGCTGTTGAAGCTTTGCAGTCAAAAAGAGAACTGCTTGTTGGGGAAGAAATGGGTTTGCAGCCTAACAAGGGTAATGTATCTAATAAATACCTGGCTTTCAGTCTTAGCATCTTTTATCTTCTGGAGAGTTTTCTTAATTACTTCCAGAGAGTTTTCTTAATTAGAGAATGTTGACATTAGTTTGAGATCTGCTATTTGAAAACTCCTGACTTTGCCTTTGTCACTTACGCTTTTATTGCCTAACTTCATCGTAATTACTTTTTTATCATGCTTTTTTGCTGCATCATTGAGTGTTTTTATACAATGTTAATTTGGATTGCATAGGTCTTGGTGTTTCTTCTTCCGTAAAATTTCATGAAAATTTTTATGTATGTGAGAAAGTCTTTATTAGTGTTTCTTATAAGTATTTCCCTTTTTTGTATTTGTTGATACTTATTTTCCTTTCTCATGCTTTCGAGAAGCCTGAGCTAAAGAGATATATGACTAATAAGAATAAAAGACATAATCTGTTGTACTTCTTAAGATAGTAACTTATGCTAGGTGAGAACCTTTTTAAACTGCATTTTCAGTGTTACAGAGATACCTTCTTTTTAACACACACATTCTTGACTCCTAAATTGGTTGTTTTCATGTTACAGAAAGGGTTGTACAGGGCTGTAAACATCTCGCTCTTTTTCATATTGCTACTTTTATTGGTGAATCATAGTGCATACTAATATGGAAAAGGTTTGAGAATCTCTGCAATGCACTCTGTTTTCTGCTTCCATAGATTATACAGCTTAAACTGCTAGATGTGAAGTTGTTTGGGTTCTTTTAAATCAAGTTTTGTACATTGTTCTGATCTAATTTCATTGTTCATATAATTACTGAGAATGCCACTGCAGTTCTGCTTTGCTGTATTCCTGGGCCTCCTCTGTATATCTGCATCATTGCAGATTACTGCATCATTGTTTTTTTTTTTTTTTTTTTAATGTTTAATTACCTTTCTCTTCCTGTCACTTGCAAGCATCCTGGAAAAGAGCTGAAAAGTAATGCTGAATATGCCAGGATAAACACTGTATGCAAAGTTTATTGGATGCAACATACTGATTTGACTCTCAGGTCACCCATGCTTCTTGTCAAATGAGACTGACAAAAAACACAAGGAACAAATTAACCCCTTTGTACAGCTCTGTAACTCATCTTTGTCCAATCATATGTATGTTCTCAGAGCCTCACATAAAGACAAAATATTTTGTGTAGTTCCACAGAATTGCTATAGTTCACAGTTTATTGCTTGCTAATGACTGAAGTGGTGCCAAAAGCATTATTCTTAACTATCAGCAGTTGAGATTGAAGGAAGAAAAAATTATGTTCACTTTTTGGTGAGGGTGAAACATAAGGCAAAGGGAATTGCTTGTTTCTGTCAAGGGAGATTTTTATCTTTAGGCAGTGAATTCAATTTCAGGTCTTCTATAGAAATAAAATTAATCCCATCTGGAGGGGAAAGTGCTGTGTTATATAGGAGACATTGCTGCAGGACTGTGGTACTTCCCTGAATGGTGGATGTATTTTCTGAGATTTTGTGTTGTCAGCTTCAAAAAAAAAAAAAACCCAAAGAACTTAAATTCTCTTCTTTCTATTCTATATGACCATGCATCCAAGTCCACAAACTTCAAATTTAGTTTTTAATCTGAAGTTAAACTTGTGCAGAAACCAGTTACTCTCAGTGTTAGTTAAATGAAACCCCATCATATCCACAAGTAGTAAAACTTCAGCCTGGTTATGCAAGTGCTTAAGCTGTGTTCTTATCTTCAAGAGCATGACTGTTTCCATTCAACTCAGTGTTTCTTTGTTGGGCAGGGGCTTTGTTCTCTTCTTAACATTTAATTCAGGAAACTTAGCAGTTACATTTCACATTGCTTGAGAGGTGTATGTTTACTTCCAAAGTACCACAGTTGATAAAATTCTTAAGAGAGCAAATATCACAAATACCAGCCATAGTGTTGCCTATCTAGAACTTTTCCTTTACATATGTACATACTTTATACTGCTCTACTTTTTGTTTCTGTGTGCCCTCTCCTATTTTTTTTAGTGAATATTTGTTAAGCTTAAACTTAATAATTATTTTCAGCAAAGATACTGAAATACTGCAAGTAGTAGTTGGCATACTCCTTACTTCATGAGAGTTATGTGGATCTATGTGATTTAGGATTTAGTTATGTATCTTAAGTGGTGAACACCAGAGGAAGAAAGAGCCTCACAAAGCATATTAGTCTTTTAATATGCAGGTTCCTTACCACCTTCCCAACATTCACAACCGCAAAAGACAACAGGTGCTGTTTGCTTCCGTCTGGACCAGTGCTTTCATCAGTAAGAACTTGAGGCCTGAGTTTATGGGATACTTTGCTTTGTTTATTTTTCATTTTCAAGCCAGGACGGGGGAATCGTTTTGTTTTTGAGAAATACTGCAGGTAGTGCAAATCAGTTTAAAAAAAACTACTTACAGAAGCTGTAAACTACAAAGTAAAGATGAAGCCGTGTGCAGATCAGGTGAATTTTGTGTTTTTAAAACATTTGGGGTATTTGGAAAGGCCTACCTTCTGTCAGCAAAAGGAAAACATCTATTATGTTAAAGTTTTCGTAACATTAATTTGGCAAAGAATTGAAACATCTGTGATCTTTTTTTTTTTTTAAGTTCCTAAGTTTATGTACATTATATGCAGGATTTAAAAGATGATAAAAGTATGGATTCCTGTACAACTCCATTGTACCTTCATTACATGTATATTAAATAAGATGCTTTCCTTTGTATGTGCAAGAAAGAGAGGAAGGGGAACACTGTGTGTTAGTACTGAAAACTGCACAATAATGTATATCTCAAAGAGGAAAAAATGTGATTGCGTGGGGCAACCACAGCTCTGATTTCTTAAGTAGCTGACTGGAATCTGAAAGTCTTCACAAAGGCTACCCATAAGATTTTACACATCAAGTTGATTATGCTTCTTTTTGATTGCATGCTGAGGAAGAAGGTAAAATTGCATTTTAAACTGTTCCACAACTGCTTCTCCTTCATACATCATCGGAGCAGAAACCTGACTCTTGAGCATTACAGCACAGGTTTTTACCACTTGAACTATGGGACTGACAACCCTAATTGGTAGCAGGAGAAGACTTATTCCCTAAGGGCTGAAAAAGGAATATGCTGCTGGCGCCATGTGTTGAGCCTGGGTGTGGGGGTTGCTGTGGGGGGAAGGTAAGGAATAAATGAGGTAATTAGGAGTTTCTGCGGTGTAATCTCCATGGAACTGGACATATTAGTATTTCAAGTGTTAAGGTAAGAAAACCAGCAAAAAGGATTAAGGTGAGAATAAGTAACATTTATTGTTTTAGGCTTTGTGTGTGTGTGTGTGTGTGTGTGGTTTTTTTTTTTTCCTTTTTTTTGTAATGCTTTATGCTTTATCCTGAGACTGGATAGTTTGGTTCTTGTGTGCCTCAGTGTAGTTTATTTGGTTCCTGACAATTCCGCTGCCTCCGCACGAGCCAGCAGTAGCCAGCCTGGCCAGCTTCTGAAGTACTCTGCATTGAATTCTCAGATATCAGTCCGCAATTTGAATCGTAGCTGATTTTGCTGCGTCCTATTAATGTGTTGTTCTTGAAAGCCAATGCTCGTAGTTCATAGGACTTTCTGTGATTTGGTTTATGGAAGTATTTGATGTCACTTTTAACAGCAGACTGTGTGGCAGTTCATAGATGGTGAATAATCAGTGTAGACTGTGAAGTAAATTGCTACAGGCAACCGACTAGGACAAAAAAATCTTGCTTATAGTGCCATTAAAATTTGGGTGGGAAGTGAGGAATTCTGGAAAATAATCCAGGATCTTTTCCTTTTTTTCACAAAAACTAAGTGGTAGGACTCTTCTCTGTTTCACTCCTCCTAAAGATTCCTCT